GATGAGTAAATATTACATGAATTTGTAGCATTTAAATTTACTCAACAAATGTTAGTGCAAATTTGTTAGAGGATTTTTTCAAGTACATCTTACAAGTTATTTTTTCAGTGTAACAAGCATTTGTTTTAGTTTGTTTTATAGGCTTTGAAAAAAAATGCTACAGCCTCAACATTAAATTTACATTCTTGTATGAAATTAATAAATGTGTATTAGTACGCAGGTGTAGGTCAGATTTGCAGAAAACGTGAAATATTCCTGAGTTATTTATGGGATCTGAACTGTGGTTCCTGTTCTGATCTGAGCAGCTTGTTGGAGCTAAAGTATAAAAATGAAATGTAAGATTCACCTTCGGCCGACCTTCAGGAGGAAATAAAATACTGTAACTGACAAGTAGAGAACGACTCTGGAGTTGTCTGAAAGGTGATGCACGGCCAGCAGCCATGTTCATTACACAACCAGACGGATCAGTTTGGTTGATCAGATGAAGCCCGTCTGACAACCTGAGTCTCACAAACTTCAGTTTTCTGCAGCCGTACCTCCAGAGTGGTCAGGACTATTTTGGTGACGGAGGAGAAGTAGGCTTCCCAAAGGAACTGGGTGTGCTGGCGGAGAGCCAGGATCCTGTCACGGCCCACAGAACGAGTAATGGAGGGAACCTGGAAGGAGAGGAAAAATACAAAGTGTTCAAATGATGATTAAATGATTTTTATAAAAACACCGGTTAATGCTTTATTTGTGGTCTTGACTTCATATCTTTAACATTATTAAGGACTAGTTTTGTTTTTTCTGTCTGATTCCAGCAGCTTGAGCTGTGACAGCTCTCAGAAGCACCAATCAAATCAGCTTAGATCTCCAGCCTTCGATTAACTCTAATAGTCTGTCTGATTCTCAGCAGGTGGGCTTTGTTTGTTCGTTGAACACCCAGGTGTGTGTTTGTCACATGTCTCCTCTCCACGGGAGGAAAACAGACAGTCTGCATATTAAACAACCAGTTATTGAAGCTCTGGCTGATGTAATTCAGAATAATGAGATTCAAACCTCTCTGCGGGTGTTTGGAGAACCAGAGTTTTGTTCGACGTRGAGTTCTTGTGTGGCTGTTTGCTCACCAAACCAATAAGTCGTGCTTTTCATTTTTATTCWTTTTAAGTACACTTGTAAATACACGGTGTAAATAATGTTGTAAATACACTGTAAATAATTTGACACATTTTGGAAAAACTTGTTGATGAAAATATGAAGAGAAATGACTTCTTTACATTGTGTCCTCATATGAGGACATTGGGTTTTTGGCACCCTGCACCATGATACTTTTTTTTCCAAATTTGACCTGTTGGCCTCATTATAGAACCAACACTATCTAATGGTCACATGACAATACTGCACTCATTTCAGTAAAACAACAAGATGATGGGATCCCAGTAAAAAGCTTCGACAACAATTCTTATTTWAAAAAATGGGCAAGGTGACGAGGTCTGGGGCACTTCTTCTTCTTCCTTTGTTGTTTAATAGTAGTTGGCAAACAACGTTTAGGTGCATTACCGCCACCATCTGCAATGGAGTGTGGGCCAGAAGGTTCCCAAAAAAAAAAAAACCTCTAAATCCTAACAAGAAAAACCTGTGGTTTTTAAACAACTACAGCAGGTAAAATAAGTATTGAACACGTCATCATTTTTCTCAGTAAATATATTACT